GCGTAGTTCAAGCTGGCGGTTCCTCATCGCTATTTCTAGGACAGCAATGGTAAAACCTCCTTCCCTGGTGTAATTACGATGCTCTGGCTGTAGGTCGGGGGGATCAGCGAGATTAGCGAGATCAACATCAAGCTGTATCATCAAACAGAGCTGCCCGGTAAATATATATATGTACATGAGTAACTGCCACCCTCATACATGAATGTAGCATCTGCGGTAGTTCAGTTACGGACTTTCGGAGAACCACATATAGAAATAGATTTCCAAAACACAGGCACTACCCCTGCAGAAATGCACTCGTCAGGCAACAGGCCATTCCACCCCGCAGCACCTCATCTCTCGGGGACCTAAAAATTTCCCCACCACATTTCAAATAGGCCAGACCCTGCAACGGTCACCTCTCCTTCACAAATGCATTACGCTTTGCAAACAGTCTAAAGCCCATCTAGAGATTGAGGAACACAGTTAAGAAAACCTTCAGAAGAGAAAAAAACACAAAGGCAATCAAGAAGGCGTCTCTTACACTAAAAAGTCTAAGTACTCATTTGCAGAAACATCCAAAACGTGTGATCAGCTCACTCGCACGCCCTCACCATGTGGAAGGTTTCTCTAATGCCCCGAGACCGGATGAGAGATCAATTTCAAAACCCGGCACAACTTCGGTTGCTTCCTTCATCTTCCGGCACTGGGCAGGCGTCAGCCCCCATACGTAGTCTTACGACTTTGCCGCGGCCTGTGTTTTTGGTAAACAGTCGCCTGGGCCTGGTCACTGCGACCTCCTGTATAAGGAGGTACCCCTTCTCCCGAAGTTACGGGGCTATTCACACGCGATTGCATTGAATCCTATCCAGGCAGCACGTAAAAGAAATAGCAGAGCTCATGATCTGGAGGGTGGGTGGTCAAAGTCCCAAAACAAAAAAAGGAGGGTTGGTGGTCACATAGGCATGCCTTCTTCACTTCCGGTGCTGATGCAGCTGGTGTGGGCTGTGGTTCGGGAGTGTTCTCCTTTGGAGGCAATCCTAATCTCATTCGCCTTTCCGCCTGCAAGACCACAGTAAAGTGACCAACAGCACCGCAAATAGAAAGAACAGATGAGCAACAAACAGAACAACATAGGCAAACTAGCATACTGAGCACGAATAATAATACTGCAGAAAAAGCACACAACAGTGTGCACAACCGAACACCCTCTCTAACTTGCCCACGCACTTGGCCCCCTTGGCTTTCCGCAACAATCGACCTTTCCTGGCAAAGAAAAGGTTAAACCACCAGTACTTGGCCCAGCTATTGAAGCCGAGCCTGAATATGCCCTGCGCGCCGATTTTTGCCGAGCCTGCAGGGGGTGGGAACCAACATGGGACATTTGATGCTTGGCACAGGTACCGCCCTTATTCTGGACCTGCTGCCAGCAGCTAGAATGTTAAGAGGCGATAGTTTTCTCATTTCCACTCGTGTACATGAAAATGGCCTGGGCAGAAGTGCAGCCAGATCCCTCTTGAAAGATCTGGTTGAATGCTCCCCGCCTCTCGCGGGGAGCAGAAGCACAAACAGCCAAGAGTCTTCAAAAGGAAAACAAAAAAACAAAACAAAACAAAGGGAAAAGAGGTACCAAGCTCTGAACGTGATTGCCCTCAGATACATCCACTGCTGCAGCGAAGTGCAGCCAGATACATTCTGGAAAGTCAAAAAAAAAANAAAAAAAAAAAAAAAAAAAAAAACAAAACAAAGGGAAAAGAGGTACCAAGCTCTGAACGTGATTGCCCTCAGATACATCCACTGCTGCAGCGAAGTGCAGCCAGATACATTCCGGAAAGTGCTGCGTCACATTGAAGCCCTGGAACTGAACTGAAACGGTTGGCACTCGTTGAATGCTCCCCGTCTCTCACGCGGAGCAGAAGCACAAACAGCCAAGATAGCCAAGATACTGCTTCCAAACTAAAAAAACGAAAAAAAAAAAAGGGGAAAAGAGAGATACCAAGCTCTGAACGTGATTGCCCTCAGATACATCCTCTCCTGCACCCAAGTGCAGCCAGATACATTCTGGAAAGTGCAACATCACAGTGAAGCCATGGAAATGAAACGGTTGGCAAGCATTGAATGCTCCCCGTCTCTCACAGGGAGCAGAAGCACAAACAGCCGAGATTACCGCTTAAAAACAAAAAAAAAAAAAGGTGAAAGGGAAAGGAGATACCAAGCTCTGAACGTGATTGCCCTCAGATTCATTCACTGTGCCCACAAGTGCAGCCAGATACATTCTAAGAAGTGCTAACGTTACAGGGAAGCCCTGCAATCCTAATGGCCGGCGTACACTCATGGAAAAGAGTTTTCTTCCAAAAAAAAAGAAAAAGAAAGAAACACAACGATTTCCTTTTCTTTTCTCTTTTCCCCCTCGTCGCCTTCAGCCTCCTCTCGTTTCCACATAGCACAGCACCAGGACATCTTACAGTCCATTTGCCCCGTTTCTGTGGGCCCACGCATGTCCTCCTCCATTGCACTGTCGGGCCTTCCCCGAACCCCGAAAACTGCGGCGCGTTAACGGGGAAGGCCTGCGGCCCATGTATGGGCCAAGTACTGCTGGTTTAAGATTCAAGCACTATGCTTCGAATCGACTCTATCCATTACATAAATTATGACGAGCACTGTGGAGATTCTGGGGCAGGACGCCTTGGACTAGTTCTTTCGTTTTCTTTAAGAAATTTTCATATTAATTTGGCAAGTACTTGAGTGATTCCAGGTCCGTGATGCCATAAACTCACTTTCCTTCTCTTTTCCACAAAGGGGTTTAGCCCTTAGCATAGTTATATCCACGAGGATTCAAACTCACGATCTGTTCAACAACTTCAACTGTTTCAACAACGGTTACATGTGCATATCATTCAGCCAACTGCCAGCACAGGATGTCTTGGAGTCTTCTACTACTACATGACTTTGGCAGCAATGAAAAAGCAAATTAGAGGAAGTAGATGTATAAGGCTCATGGGTTACTGCATAGTATCATCAGTGTTCCAAGTTTCAAAGTCCAAATTATTCAGAAGCATAAATAATAGATTGTGTTCCTTCGGGACATCTGTTAAAACTTGGAACAATACAGAGAAGATTGGCATGGCCCCTGCGCAAGGATGACACACATAAATGGAGAAATGGTCTAAAATTAATAAAAACAAAAGATTAGCATGGGACAGAAAAAAAGTAGCCATGGCATGAGTTGCCAACTTGCCACACAATTCTCAATCCTTGCCATAAAGAAACGGCTACACACGTGTGCAGACGGGCGTGTCTCTGAGGATGTGTGCGAACAGAGAAGATCCGGGTACGGATGTGATGACCTTGTCTTCTTCGAGCTTCCTCCGGATCTTCTCTCTTGCCTGCCTCTCCTCTTCCTTTTCCCTTGCCCTGAGTTCAATCAACCTGCATAGCTCAAGCAAGCCGCATACAACCACCAAGACATTGTGACGCCAAGTATCCCAGCACATCAGTCCAATGTTCACTTCTAACAGAACTGTTTTGAATGACAAAACAGACCAGCGGTATGAAAGTCGATTGCCAATCTTGAAGAGAACAAAAAAAAAAAACAAAGGAACACGGGCAGTCTAAGAAGCCCAAAGAAGCACAACCATTCCAAATAAAGGCAACATCCTGCATATGCCAGCAAAAGCCATAGGTATCACATCTCAAGCAGGCGGCGGGCCTATACCTGGTATCACGTAAAGCACTACATAGTACATCCATCATAAGCTGAGAGTCCCATTTAAGCAAACTACACATTTAAGGGTGTTGTGTGCTATTACCAGACCCCCTCGCCAAATTCCTATCGTCTGTCCTCTTCTTTTTTCTTTCGGATCTCAGCTTGAATCAGTTAGATTCCTTAAACCACCAGTACATCCAAGCCTGTTTGGTACAAGGAAGATTCCTGTGCGCACCAAGCTTTGCCAAAAAGCCAGCACGGCATTCCCCGAGCCTCCGAACTTTTCGAAGAGAGCCTCGCAATGTTCTCAAGTTGCCTGGGGCCGTGTACTGGTGGCTTAAGACCTCAGCTGATATCATCCAAACATATCATGCAAGTTGCTGTTCTAAACAGTCCTTCAGTTCATCGGTTCAAATCCTAGCCGGCACTCGATTTTCCCCTGGACTGCTAATATGCTGGATAACTTCACTAAACCACAAGTCTGACTCCTTTTTCTCTGAAAAGCTGCACTTCCAATATGCCGGCAGCAGCGACTGGTTCACTGCACATCTGGGCACCAAAACATTAGGTTCCGCAGTCGAGGATCGTCCGTACTTCAGTGACACCCCTAAGCAATACTACGGATCGATGTGACCTCCGCTGCAACTCTCACTGTATGGCAGTGTACCTCTCAATGCCTACCCCCGCTCATGCCTACCGTCTTCACCAGAATAGAAACCCTGTCATTATCCTCACATCTAGACGGAAAGTTGCATCAAATACAGCTATAATGACAGGGCTTTCTACTCGGGTGAAGACGGTAGCAACCACGGCCATTTACAGTTCATAACATCTACAGGCTTGGCCTCAAGTCCTGGAGTATCCTTCCAACACGACATTGACAAGATCCCTATTGTCCAGTTCAATTGAAGGCATCCTCCAAACATGGACTGAAACACACGGCTGATTTCGGAGTTTTGCCCATAGACTGAAACACACGGCTGATGTCTGAGTTTTTCCCATAGACTGAAACACACGGCTAATTTCTGAGTTTTGCCCATACATTGAATGCCTTGCTGAGTTTCCCGCCTGCTACTAAGTCTGTGTGTGCACGCTTGCTGGACTGCATGTCTGTCTGAGTGCTGGTTGGCTCGAGTGTGTGTGTGGCCGTGCCTGTCTGAGTGCTGGTTCGCTTGAGTGTGTGTGTGGCCCGCAAGGGCACTTGCTCGTTCATTGGGCCCTCAGGGCCGGTCCTTACCTGTGGCCGTGACATTGAGGGATTGCAGCGGGAAAAACACTCAAGTAGCGGGTAGGCCGGTACCGCACCTTGAAGAGGTAGATGTGCGGGTACTGGAGGCCAAGCAGAAGAAGACAAAAGTGGCATTTTTAGAGGCCCAGTAGTTGTAGGTTAGGTCTAGGCAGGTACCAGTCCAACCAGTCTGGGTCTAGGGCCTGTACGGGCAATATCAGAGTCTGCAATGATGTTTCCCTCCGAAAGGGAGGAGGTACCGGTTACTTGGAAGGCCGAGCGGCCTGGAAGTCACCGCCCGAAGAGGCAAGCAGGCCGCTATATCTCCCAGCCGGGCGAAGAGCCCGGCCTCGTTCTCGGTGTGCAAGTTTGGCGACACACTGGTTGGAGCGCTGGCTGGAGCAGCGCTATCCCGAGCAGCACTGCTGGGGGAAGGAAAAGGACACGGAGGACGAAGAAGGACAGGAAGGGGGAGGAGCGCCAGGGGTACTTACCTGGCTATGGTGGCAGCCATCTTCATCACCTTGGTGGACGCTGCAGCGGGGAGTCCCCGACTGGGGAGAGCTACACCATGGAGCTTCAAGGCAGAGTCGGGCATGGCGGCCTGAGTTGGAGCAGCCATAGCTGCTTTGGGTTGTCCTTTGGGCATCTGGGCAAGGCCTAGTAGTCCGCCATAGCCTGGGCCTATGATGATGAAGGGAGGAAGAGGCGGCCATGGCTATGGTGGACCTCAAGTGATGCCAGCAGTAGAAGAGGAACTCGGACATTGATTCTGGATCAGCCATTCAACATTGTATTATTATTTCTTGTATGAATAAGAGAAGGGGGAGATAAGGAGGAGGAGATTGTTGGGCGAAGAAGTATTATTATTGTTTCTTGTATGAATAAGAGAAGGGGGAGATAAGGAGGAGGAGATTGTTGGGCGAAGAAGAAGAGCCTTGTCATCTGTCTATGCTGGTGTACATCTTTTTCTTCGTTCTTACTTCTTCTTCTTCTTCTAATCCTCTCTCTCCTCTCAAGTTCATTCATTTCTTTCTGCAATTGGACGGCATTGTACTATCTGATGGATGTGTATCTCGAAATTGGTCAGGAGCATAACAACAATGTAAAAAGGATAAAGAGAGGGTGTAAGAAACTTCTAGGACGGAGGACAAAAATACTCAATTGGTCACATGCTATGGATGCGGACAACGGATAAAATCGAAATGTCACTCGATACTGTTTCTACCACTCTTACATGTCCGTCATGAGGCCAATACAGATCAGCCATCTGCTAATAAAACGAGACCACGCAATCATTATGCTAATAAAACAAGACCACGCAATCATTATGGAAACACTCGTTAAGTGCCAGTCCACTCAAACAGGATTTTCATTTTTTCTCTTTCTTAATTGGATCATTTGATTCATTTCTCAATTTGTGTGTTTCATCCTTACGCAGGCGCCATGCTAATCTTCTTTCTCTGTATCGTTCGAATTTTAGCGGATGTCCTGGACGACACTCAAACAGGTTAAAGACTCCATGGCAAGTCCTTTCATGCTTCGATATTCCTGACGTCATCTTGACCTACCTCTTGCGTTCTTGATCCTCTTCAATCCGCTTTGCCTCCATCATCTCCCTTCCAATGCGAAGACGTTCCTGCACCAGCATCACGCCGTGGAAGAAGACAGACGGCATTTTCATTCTCTCCTCCTTTCCAAGATCTTTTCAGATGTGTGATTAGATAACAAACATTGTGAAAGTTGATGGTTTTCAGGGCATACTCACACTGGGACCTATAATCCCAAATTCCCCTAGAGAGATATTCCGGGCGCCCAGGTCCCGACGTCACGCCCGGTTTGGCGACCGGGTGACCAGCCGGGCATGACCCCCGGGCATGGGAAAGGGGTCCCTTATCCCCCCCCCCCCCCCAAAAAAAAAAAAAACCAAAAAAAAAAAAATTCTGAAAAATAAATATGTTGTGTAGAATCGCAATACAAAACTTTTGGCTGAGGGTCACATTAGAATTCCTCACGGAACTAGAGATAGAAAAACAAATAACCAAATCATACTAAGGCACCCCCCTTTAAACCCCTTCAACCCCTTTAAAATTCATTTGTACTCCCCAACCCCCCTTGACAGCCAACTCTCAAAGAAAGAAAAGAGCCCAGAGTTGGGCTCCTCTCGGAGAGCGCGGAAAAACCCCACCGCCCAATTTTTTTTTTTTTTTTTCCATGCCCAGGTATCCCGGGCGTCAGACCCCCCCGGGCATCACACCCGGGTGACCGGCCAGACTGGCCGGTCGTGAAAATCTTCCTAGAAATTCCCCCCAAAAAAGGGTAGAGGGATGGTCACATAGATTTGCCGGAGTACCAAATGTACTATTGGTGTGCCCATTTGTCAGCGGCCAGGGAAGCCGCGGGGCAAGGGGATTTGCAGTCACCTCCACAGGTGGCCGCAAATGCCCTATTTGTTTTTTCACATTTTCTTCAAAATTTGGTAAAAGTTCGTTCACAAAAGTGCTTGCACACTTTGTCGAGGGCGCCATGTGACCAGCAAATTACCAGATCGCTATTTCTCCAGACGGCTGCGACCTTGTCCCATCCGAAAAGGTACAGCATTGCGACCCCAATTCTGCCCAAAAACCTCATATCCGCACTTCCCAACTCCGCATATTTTGCGGATTTGAGGCCGCAGTGTGAGTACGCCCTCAGTTTGAAAGGCAACATCGACTGATCACTCTGGGAATCTAAACCACAATTATCCCAACATCCATACGGTGCGCAGTGTGCTTTTCCCCCCCCTATTAACTAAACAAACAGGATTCGGGGTAGTGTGCAAGCCAAAAGTTGCTCAAAATGACATTTACATCACATACGTCTTTCTCCGAACTGTTTGATCACCATTTGCATAACTTGTGGTTCTTGTGCACCATCCATAGTGCACCCCAGCCAGGGGTACGCTGCAAAAGCACGTATTGCACTCATGGCGTGCACAATAACACATCTGTCAACATCTGGCTTATGTTCATAAGAGGGCACTAAGCGCACAAACCTGCTCTCTTTCCCTTTCCATCCGTTTTTCCTCCTCTTCTTTCTTTTTCCTCGCTCTCTCCCTTCAGAACAAAACAATTGCACAAAACAAACGCACAGCATCCAGAAGCACACCAAAAGATTGGTCAACGAGAGACTGGTCTAGAATCTAGATAAATCCAGCTGAAGTTCCTACACATGCCTCCAGGTAAATAAATCTGAGTGCATCCTTTTCAAGAAACTCATCAGAAACAATAACTGTCAAGTAAATACTAAATATCAACCATACAACAAAATAGTTCAGCGGAATATATACCATACTCATGGTGCACGCCGTGCCTGGCGTGGCGGCACGTGCGACACAGAGTGCACCGCACAGCCAGCGCGTTCACGGCATGCGGCGCACCGGCAGAAGCAGGGGTCCTGAAAAAAAAAATTCAGGGGCTGGCAGGGTGGGGGGGGGGGGGGGGGGAGGAGGCCGGGGGGGTAGGAGGCCCGGAGCGGTATTGGGGGAAATTACCTCCGTGGGCGGGAAAATGTTTCTCCGACCACACGCAGACCTGGAAAAAAACTTTTGGGGGACATCCGAGTAGTTCGTTTTAGAACTACTCAGACCTCCCCCACGGCGCCAATGGGCACCCCAGCAGTAAGTCGACCCACCCGTTGTGCCTTGCCTCCTTGGCGACTGTCGTGTGGTCTGTTTTCGTCATCATTCGTCATCCTTCGTGCCCGCCCATCACCAGCAGCACCAGGAGTAGCGCGAGCAGAAACAGGAGGCAGCAGCACGCAGCAGAAGGCAGCTGGAGCAAGGAGGAATCAGTGAGCCGGTTGAGGTGGGTTGCCACCATCTCTCTCTCTCTCTCTCTCTCTCTCTCTCTCTCTCTCTCTCTCTCTCTCGTGTCGCTCTTCCCTCCTTCCTAGATTCAGGTTGGTGCCACCCTCTCCCTCTCTCTCTCTCTCCCCTTCGAACACTTCACCATCCAACGACCTTTTTCTTTTTTCCCTTGTTACGTTCGCCACAGAGCCTTTCACTACGCTTGCCACCTCCACCCCTCCCATCCTCCATGTGTTGACTGGATTGGCTCACCACTCCCTCTTTCCTCCTTCCTTTCTCCCTCCTCCTCCCTCCCTTTACTCCTTCCATTTTCCCTCCTCCTTCCTCCCTTCCTCCCTCCTCATCTCTCCCTCCTCCTTCCTCCCGCCTCGTGTCCGCTCTTTCTTCATCCATCTCCCCCTCCTCTCTCACTTTTTATTCGTCCATCTTCCTTCCATTCTCCCTCCTCCTTCCTCCCTTCCTCCCTCCCTCCTCCTTCCTCCCGCATTGTGTCCCTTCTTTCTTCATCCATCTCCCCTCCTCTCTCGCTTTATATTCGCCCATCTTCCTTCCATTCCCCCTCCTCCTTCCTCCCTTCGTCCCTCCTCATCTCTCCCTCCTCCTTCCTACCGCCTTGTGTCCCCTCTTTCTTCATCCATCTCCCCCTCCTCTCTCACTTCTTCGTCCATCTTTCCTTCCTTCCTCCATTTCTCCCTCCTTTCATCCTCCTTTCTCCATCTTCCTATCTCCCTCCCCTTGTTACGTTCACCACAGAGCCTTTCACTCCGTGTGGCACCTCCACCCCTCCCATGTGTTGACTGAATTGGCTCGCTACTCCCTCTTTCCTCGTTTCTCCCTCCTTCCTCCCTTTACTCCTTCCATTCTCCTTCCTCCTTCCTCCCTTTCTCCCTCCTCATCTCTCCCTCCTCTCTCACTTTTTATTCGTCCATCTTTCCTTCCTTCCTCCATTTCTCCCTCCTTTCATCCTCCTTTCATCCTCCTTTCCCCATCCTCCTTTCTCCATCCTCCTGTCGCCCTCCTCCTTTCTCCATCCTCATGTCCCCCTCCTCCTTTCTCCATCCTCCCTTCTCCCTCCTCCTTCCTCCCTTCTTCTTCGTCCCATCTTCTTCGTCCTGCTATTGGTGGGGAGCTGCGGCACAGTCCCTTGTCACCCGAGACGCACTACACGGGGGGCTGCGGCTGTGCCACATGGAGCCAGACAATCCCTCGACACACGCATAATGGACGGGAAACAGACCTATGCACCCAGTCGCACATTAGGGGTGCCGAAAGGGGGAGGGGGAGGGCCTCGGTTCCTGGGCACAGCCCCAGTCTCAGGGCCTCACTTTATCCCAAACGATCATCCCATTTCAAGTTCCAGTCCCTAGCGTCTTGCAACAACAATCTGTCCATGGACTCGTATCTATCGAGCATTTGCCTAACTCGTTGTCGTTTCTTCTTATTCAAATATTATGAATTTCACCAAAACAGTAAAAAAAGAAACCCTCACTTTCCTCCAACCCCATCTCTCATCATGCTTATCAAAACATGCTTTCAAACTTTAGCTCAGAACCGGATTTACAGTTGGGCAACCACATGGGAATTGAGGAAACGGATAGACTTAACACCAGCTCACGATCAACGTCAACGATGGAACAAATGTACAGGCCCTCTAGCCACAAAAGGTTTTTTCATTACACATATGTTGTCACAAATCTGTCCACTAGAGGAGCACACTTTGTGTGAAAAGAAGCACAGAAACGACCGGACAGCATCAGGCCCATAGAATCGATTCCTTTTCTCTATTCCTGTGCAGTTCTTTCGTTTCTTCCTTTCCTTTGGACTGCTTTTGACAGTTTCTCTTTTATTTCAGCGTACGGACAATCCACTTACACCAATTCAGCTGCCTTTGCTTTTGCCTCCTCTGGTGTCAACAGTGGCTTGGGCTTCGCAGCCGTTGCATCTGCAGGAACCTGCACCATCAAAAGTTGGGACACAGCCAAGGGACAGACATCAGAATTCTTTCACTATGATGTACACATAGTTACCCATGTGTTACCTCTGTCTGTTCTCTCGGAACGGACCATCCTGAAATTTTTGGCCCCCTCTAAAGGATGTAAATGACCGACAAGCGACGAACAATATGTTCCTATGTTTGAAACTGTTTGCATTTCACTTCTTGTAGCAACCACCCCTTTTTGAAAGACCGTAAACAGGACTTTGCGGGCCTGGCTCCATGTCAATTCTAGGAAAACTCGGTGCAATTCATTCTCCACTGGCAAGTCATAGAGAATACATTGGCAGGCTCACCCGCACTTCCTTCCATAGCCCGTTGTTTCCACCAAAGACGCATCAAATGTGTTCCCCATGTTTTGAACCGTCAAATGTGTTCCCCATGTTTTGAACCATTTGCCTGGTACTCCCTGAAGCAAATTCTTTTTCCCTGAAGGGGCGTGCCATTGTAAACAACTGGCCAGCCACCAACAACCTATTCGCAATTGTTTGCTTGTACTCCTTGCAGCGATCTATTTTCTTCAATGAAATAAACATCCAATACATGGAACCAATTCAAAATTCGAATTCTGACATGCAACCCGACTCAAAACCCAAAGAGGAAACCTAGGTACAACTCAAACTAGAACGACTATCAAGTTTACATCACCACGAACTTCTGACAAATCGGGCCAATCCCTGCAGATGGGAAAAGAACAAAAGAATGAGACTCTGGTCACTGGATCAGGCATCCAATGTCACGGCAGAAAAAGGTCAGGCCTTCAGATAACCAGGACAGTTACATAGTGCGGGTCTAAAACTCTCTCGAAGGAAAACAAAGGCCTATGGCACAAACGAGGACCACACCGCCTCTTAAATCCAAAAAACGAAAAGGCGAGAGTCTTGCTTCCCGATGCCGGCTGTAATCAGATGGCTTATCCTGATAAAAACGACAAACCCAAAAAAAAAAATTGGGTCCCCACACGTGTAGTGGAAGGTTGGTTTTCACTAAGAGCTTCGTACCCAGTGGAGGGAGTATGCCTCCTGATCCTGCACAACATTTGCCCACACTAACATTGCAATCTACTGCCTGAGGATACCAACCAGCAACTGCAACTTCGTGTTTGTTTGTTTGTTTTTTAAGAAAAGGGGGTGCCCCCTAACACTATTAGGGGTCACATGGGCTGGGTAGTGCATATTCCCTTCTTCCCTTTTTCACAAACGGGTCCTTATGGGCCTAGCTCCATCCGCCGCCAGCTCTGAATCATACATTGTGTACACACGCTTAAACCACAAGTACACCGCCCAGGAAAACTTTTGAGGCCAAAATGAGTCATTCCTAAAAGTTAGGGGACTCGCCCCAGGGCAGACCTGGGGGCAGGCAGGAAAACAAAAAAAATACCCGCACATCAGGATTAGCACTGGCACCGCACGGGACAAAATTCAAAATTCCGCCGGCCCCCAGGCCCACCCTGGGGCGAGTCCCCTAACTTTTAGGAAGACTCATTTTGGCCTCAAAAGTTTGCCTGGGCGGTGTACTTGCGCTTAACTACCCCACCTTACATACCCAGCCCATGTGTCCGAATGGTACACCCACGTAACTCTGGACAAACAGACCTCATTTCAAATCCTGATGGAAGGGATACATAAAATCACTCGGCATTACCTAGGGTTGGTCAATTCCATGATGATCCCACAAGGCCGTCGCCCTTTCAAGGGGGGGAAAAAAACTTTGAAAAAGGAAACAACAAAAGAACTTCGCTCATCAAGTAGCAGAAGAGTTTCCAAGCCACAACACAGCTGACCATCATTCAGATACGAGTGAATGGATAAATTTCATTAAAGAATGCACATACTACATACCAGAGGCATCTCATCGATATCTGGATCCTCCTCGTGCTCAACAATCCAATTTACAGCAGCTTCAACGTCCTCACGTCCTGTGAACATATGACCCACAGTAGGACACACCACAAAAACCAGACATTAATTGAAGATGATGGCATATAAGGGGCATGAAAAAAATGGATGGTCACTTCATAGCCACACTCACAATAAAGGGTCCGAGAACGACGTCTGCTCTTCGCACATGTGCATTAAGGAGCATGATAAAACTACGATGCTTGGCAAAGGAAATGCAAAAACCACACTCTAGAGCAGAACAGCAAGACTACAGTGGCGAGTACTTTGGGAAACACACAATGGTGTAAAGTTGCGGTCACAGCCGCTGGTACTCCCGTCTTCACGAGAATTCAATTTCACTGAGCCCATGTTGGAGACAGCGGGGCAGTCGTTACACCATTCGTGCAGGTCGGTACTTATGCAACACAATTGTGTTGACTCGCAGAGGGAAGACCTGACCACCTCCCTTGCTCCTCCTCCAGGCTTTGGGAAATTCATACACCGTTCATTCACACCAACAGAACATGGAGCTTGCTCCTCCTCCAGGCTTTGGGAAATTCATACACCGTTCATTCACACCAACAGAACATGGAGCATCAGCCCAGTCCAAGACCCACAATTACTCCCTGTGTGCCATTCTACGGTCTCGAGGATTGAGAGTCAGATACTGAAGTACAGGGATCATCAGGCTCCTAAAGTACAGGGAACACAGAGAACGTTCAGTAGTCACATACAGAGAAGGTATAGTTCTGGTTGCCATTTCCTGTGTTCCTGCAGAAGTGGAGGAAAGAGGCATAAGGTCCGCATACCTCTAGTTGGGAAGTAACACCTTTCGTTGGACATACAGGGGTAAGGGATCAACCCACCTACCAAACGGCATGGTCAGTGATCTTCCTCTGGTCAAGCCCAAATTAATTACAGATGCCACTCTTGTATACTTTTGGTGCCAAGCCCAAATTTATACACGCCAAACACCCCTCCGCTACACATCTGACAACCATATTTCTGCCTACCGAAATGTGTTCCTTGTTCGCCAAGAGGGGCGCAGAAGGAAATCGACGCGCATGACACCACACTATCAATAGGGTTATCAACGGTTGGAAACCGTTGATAAAGTGCGTCAGGAGGCAGACATTAGGCATATAAAAAAATGCAGAACAGAACCAGGATTTTGATATTTTACAACTGTGTAGATGGCAGCAGACAGAAAGAAAGCAAAGAAAAAGTTACAAACATTTCCTATATGGATAGATCATCTCGACGAACACAGACGGTCCTGAAAGCCTATTCAGGACAGGTGTCCTCGTCAGATAGCCCACTTACTTGTGCCAACCTTTTTCCTTTTTTAATTTGGGGCTCTTTGTTCCTGGCTCCTTTCTTTGCCAGGGAGCATCAATCTGGCCAGTGGCAAGTCATATATGATCAATTGAACAGGACTCCATTTGTACCGACCTACCACGTCAAGCTCAAATAAAAACAGCCAAAGAAGAACCCAACAGACCATCCAGTGTGATTACCCCTTCAACAGATTCGATGCTGAATGATGCATTTTACTACCCAAGGTCGGAATGAATTCCGACAAACAGCAATTTTCTCCCCGCTTCTGCAGAAGAAGATAGACATATTTGGAGCATCATGAAGGGATTTGGGGGTATATACACAGCACCCCACATTCACATTCAAACAAAAGTGTAAAACACCCTAATTCGACTTCCAAAAAGTCGCGCAATTTCAGCCCTTTCGTCATAGATGTCACTTCTTTGTATTACAACAGACATATTGTCCTTTTTTTGCTGCCATAAGGGCTAGTAATAAAGATTACGTGTGCTTTGAGCATCCTGTCTCGTTACTCTGGCGAGTAATACAGATGATGACCGCAGGTTGACAGCTGTTAGGATTGATAGTTTTTGAGTGAGCTTACCACAAAAATGCAAAGCCCGTGTTGCTCTAGCTTTGGGAAACCCCATTTCTTCAAGCTCGGCCAACACTGTCCGATTCACCATTGGGACCACCATCTCAACACCTCCTGAGGAAAACCAGATGAACATACCAGTCAGAACTCAAACTCAGGTACGAAGAATCAAGACCATACTTGCAACCGCGCACGCACAGAGTGTGATACGGAAGAGCTGGAAAAAGAAGAAAAAACATGTTTTCGAGTTTGATAAATCCAACGAATACGATTTTGAGGACGCGTCTCAGCCAACGCTGCTCAAAGTACAGACGCTTCATGAAAACTGCACAATAGCCGTCCAGTTTAAAAACCCTACAACACAACGGATCCGTAACTCCATGCACCATTCTCCCAGTTCTTTTTCTTTGCGGGAAGAGGGAGGGTGGGGGAGATATCTCGAGTTCTGTGGGTCATACTTCCACCAGGGCCATGCTCACATTGTGTATACATTGTTCCGTCACGATGCATTCCGGCACGATGCGCCCTTCTCCAAGTTCCCTTTTTCTTTGGTGGGTGGGTGGG